AAGCAAAAGGTGAACGTGGTAGTGGCTACAACATAGAGTGAAGAACCAAGTTCGGATGATTCTGAATTAAACATTCCTCAAGTTAAATTGGACAATGAGTGAGTTCTCAAAAATTGGAATAAATCATTGAGTTATCTTCCACAGGAAAATCAAAATGGCCTGAAAGAGTTATTACAATCACATGGGGAGATATGTGGGAATCAGCTGGGATGTACTAATGTAATTATGCATGATGTAAATATAGGAAATGCTGTTCCAAATAAGTAAGATCCTATAGACTTAATCCTCTTTACTTGGCACAAGCTCAAAAAGAGATTGAATGCACGCTGAAAGACGATATAATTGAAGTGACTTGCAGCAAATGTCGCCCATAGTAATGGTGCCAAAACAAGATGGTACCCAACAATTATGTGTGGACTACTGCAAAGTCAATGCAGTTACAAAGTTTGGTTCATATCCTATTCCATGTTTGGAAGATTGTATTGAGAAGGTGGGACAAACAACTTTTATTTCAAAGTTGGACTTACTCAGAGGATATTGGTGGGTACCTTTATTTGAAACAGTGAAGAAAATTTTGGCTTTCATGACCCCAAATGGACTGTACCAGTTTAAAGTCATACCATTTGGTCTGAAAAATGTGCCAGCTGCATTTCAAAGACGTTTCGGGATTATCCAATCGTGTGTTGTACATCAATAATTTGATGATTTTTAGTCATACATGGAAGGAACATTTGGACCATCTATCAGAACTGTTCAACTGAATTTGGGAGGAAGGCTTGGTGATAAACCTGGCTAAGAGAGAGTTCACAAAAGCCCAAGTCACGTTCCTGGGCCATGCTATTAGACATGGACTGATGGCCCTGCGGAATGTGAAAAGTTATTGGCGAGTTTCCCACACCATCAATGAAGAGGGAAGTACTACGATTCCTGGGGCTGAGTGTATTTTTATGGGAGGTTCATACCAAATTTTAGCAATATAGTTGCATCACTGACTTCTTGAAGGAGTGCAGAAAATTTAAGTGGACAGAAGAATGTCAAAAGGCATTTGACGATCTGAAAGCTGGGTTAACCACTGCCCCAGTGTTAGCCACATCTAAGTACACAAAGCCATTCGAGGTGGCAAGTGAACTGGGTGTTGATGCTGTACTCTCGCAAGAAGACGACAAGAGGTTGGAAAGACATATTGGGTATTTTTCCAGAAAATTGAATAATCATCAACAGAAATCCTCCATGATTGAGTTTGGTGTTGGCATTGTAACATTTCAACATTCATATTGCCAGTAATGTGTCTGAGACAATTATGTATGCTGATCGTAACCGCTTAAAGTTTCTGGAAAATTTTAAGGATAAAAATACCAGACTATTTAGAATTGAGCTTATTACTGCAGCCATTCAATTTGAAAATTATACACGTGACAGGACGAGAGGACGTAATGGCCGACATATTGTTGAGACTTTGGTGAATGAAGATGGAGGCGTTTAGTGGCAATAAAAGAAGTGAAACTAACCAGAGTAGTGAATGTTTACATGCTTAGAGTCAATATAATGTACATGTATTACAGGGTGCAAGACTAAAGAGTGTTACAAATGAAGCTATCTTTGTATATTGATGGTTAATGTTTTTTTTTTAAACAGGGAGATGTGATGATACTATGGTTTAAGAAAGACTGGGACAGAAGTGCCAAGCAGTCTGCCCCAAAGTTAATAAACAGCTTGTGAGGCTTTCGGATTTGTTTGCAGTTGGAACAAAAGAGGCAGTGTCAATGGGCTGGGTCAAACCCCCACAGAAGCAGGATTTTTTAAATACTTTTAGCCTTTAGTAGTAGTTTGTGATGGGGTCTTGAAACTGGATGTGGAAGCTTTTTTCCCTCTCTTGTTCTAGCTAAAAGCTGCAGGTTCTCTTCCTGCATGTGAGACAATCTATTCTACTGAATTTGCCTTTGCCAAGGCTGTGTTTATGGAATGTTACTATACAAGAACAGTTACTGTTTAATAGTTAAATAATCTATTACTCTGTTAAGTTTTCCAATAGAGTTAGAATTGGAATAATCTTTCTCTTGTTGTATTTTAAATATAGCTTGTGAATAAAGTGGTTTTGCTTCAAGGCTGGTGGTTTGACCAATTGAATTGCATCTGGAACCCAACGCTCGGTACTTACCTTTAAAATAAGAAAACATTAGGTTCTAGGCTATCTTCTTCATCTGCTTTGAGGTGGTTTGGTGTGATCCATAACACGTAGTTCAATACAGACTTTCAGAACAACGATACAAAAAGCTAGAAAACATGTTTTAATCATCTTTAATTGTTTGTACCAATATTTGTTTTGAATCCTGTAGGATTAGTTCTTACGTATATCAGAGATTACAGTGACTAGAGGAGTGTTTGTTAGGTTCTATGCACTACAATATTTTATCATGTATATCATGCAAATTGTCTGAAGTTCAGCACAAGAAGGGTTAATTCATAAAGGATGTCCTCATTTGAAAAGGCCTTAAATCTTCTGTAGGACCTTATGACCCCATTACTTAGGCACACGGCATTCTCATAATGCTTCATATCAGTCAAGCTTGCTCCACTTAATTAATAAATGGAACCTCTTTGTGAAATTTGTTGGATTATTTTTGGTTGTGGGAAATGGGTCATCTAAAATGATCTCATTTTCTGGATAGACTTGGCGCCTACAATAGAGAATCAGTAAGACTGAGAAACACAGGCCACTGAAGGAAACTGTGCCTTACCCCTACCTCATATAAATCTGCATCAAGTAACATCAGCAGAACATACAAATGTTGGAATTGGAGATGCATTTGAATGAGGAAGGTTTGCAGGGCTATGGGGAAAGAAGAAGGCAGCAGAGCTCATGAAATAATTTAGCAAGAGCCAGCCTGAGCATGTATGATAGGCTGAATGGCCTCTCTCTGTGCTGTATCATGCTATGGTTCAACAGCTTCATTCAAAATCCTATTTCGATCAAGCACAAGTTTTGATCCTAGATAACAAAATGTCGCAAGTATGTCTGCTGTTGTAAAATGTCCTTGAATGGTCCCTTCCTGAAGTGTTCACACACTCCATTTATCACGTTTCTCTTGGTTTTATAATTGCCTGATTCCATCCCAGTCACCAATCCTGCACCATCCTCATCACCCACATCTGCAACCACACACACAAAATTAGAACGCAAGAACAAGAAAAAGGCCATTCAGTCCATCAATCCCACTTCTCCTGCTGCTCTTGCATAAACTATCTCTGCACCTTCCATATGGTCATCTTCTGCAATGCATGTACAATCCACTTTATCACAATTTCTACCATCATAAAAGTCGGTGTTCCTCACAGCCAATATAAAATCAAGTCTGTCATTCACCCTATCCATATATTTTCATCCTGAGGCAGTATTCTGTATAAGTGCTCTCTGATTCTCAAAGATAATCGAGGAAATATCCAGAAGTTCAACCTGCCTCACATCCTTAACTACTCATCCTCGACTTACTGCACTTCAAAAATAGCAATCCTTCAGTCCCAGCTGAGAAGATCATCAGTCAGGGATTTTATGTTTACGGGTGACATCAAATTCATTTAAAACCGCCTTGAGAAGGTCCTGAGATGGGATTGTAAAAATCTTATGGTATATCTGGATCAGGATTTCCAGCTTTCCCACTGCCAGCCATTGAGATACACACTGCCTTTAATTCCATCTAGATTAAAAATTGGTTCAATTTCTAGTATGCGTACTTGTCATCACAGTATAGAGATAATGACATGGAAAGCTCCATGGAAAATAAACGCATTGCCAATGAACAAATGCATCCAAATTCTCAGCTAGCAGACTAACCTACAGCCAACCAACATTAAATCTACAGAAAACCAAAGGTGCGAGAACTGATGACCCAAGTTAATAAGTAAGATAATAAATACCGAAAGGTCACCTGTAAGAACCACACCTCACTTAACTAGGATTTGCCCACAGGCATGTTACAAGCCTTTGTGTGTTGTCTGGTGCATCGTTTTACAGAGAATTTCTGAATGGACAATGTTAGCAACATTAAGGGTGAGGCGATAATTCACAAATTCTCTTGGAGTGGCACAGCAAGCATAGTTACTTTTACACACACACACACACACACACACACACTTACTTTTATACTTCCCCTAAATTTTCGCTTCTCTGTTGCAGCAGCGTTAAACTACATGTTGACTGTTGAGTAATAAGTGCATATGACTTGAAGTGAAACTTGCAAACGGACAGGTTTCAGATACAAGTGAGAAAAAACAGCACCTCCAGGTGTCTCCCACAAGAGGTATCTAATTTCTGTGTTAATTAAAATGTTGTATGATTAAAGTCTGGCCTTGTCATTAATTTTACTTTTTTAGTTAGTTGAAGGTGATGCCTTTGTGAATTGTGACAGCTGCAAACATCCTTGAAGTTTCTAGTTCTTTGTTACGATTTTGGATGAGAGACAGAGATAGGAGATTGTGACTGCCAAACCCTTATTGCTCTCCACTTAGGAAGAGGAGGAAACAACTTAGTTCCTCAAACTCATTCCACCATTCAATGAGATCCTGGCTGATCTGTATCTTCATCACATGTACCTTAATACAGTCAGTTCTGCTATAATGCGTGTTCCGTCAACGCAAATTGGCTGTAACACGAATGGCGAATAGGGGAACGCTATTTCTAAAACACATACTTGTGTTGGCTATTACACGATTTCATCGGTGCGTGGAGGAGTACGCATCGACAACACATGATCGTTTCACAGGCTTTGTGAAGAATACGTGCAATGTTAGTGCCAAAAGAGTCTCCGCTCCCACATTATGTGATCATTTTGCAGTCTTTGTTGTGAAGTGCTTTCTGTGAGAGGTCCAGTACAACCTCCTCCCCCATCAAGTCATCTTGACATGTTTTCCAAGGTTAAGTGTTAAATTTACTTTTATTTCATTATTAGATATGAATTAAACATTTATTCAAATTGTGCTATTCTTTGTGTTAGGCTTTTGATTGATTTTTGAGCGATTTTGAGTGATTTTTTTTGGTGGTCTGCCCCAACCCCACTTTTCCCATAGACCCCGTTATTTCTATAGCGCGATTTTCTATAATGTGATGTTGCACAGGATCGCAACTATCGTGTAATAGCAGAGCCAGCTATACCCTTGGCTAACAAAAATCTATTGATTTCAGTTTCAAAATGTTTAACTAATACTCAGCCTCAGAGTTCCAGAGTTCCAATCCCTGCTGTGCAAGACAGATGTTCTGTTTTTAGTGTCAGGATGTTATCGACATCCATTGCAATCAAATTGTCCAAGTGCTATCCTGCAGACATTTAGTCTAATCCAATCTGGGCTGCTTCAACCCATCACTGTACCAGCTGGCCTTTGGCAGATATAGTTTTAAGATGTGCAATTTTTCACACAACCAATAATGCAGGCCATGGTCCCCAAGAAATTTGCTGTACAGTAAAAGGGATCTACTTATTTTGCCCATTATCTCGCACATAAACAGTAACCCAACGCAACAAGGAATACTAACGCTAAAGGATCTTAACTGAGTTAATGGGGTAATTTTAACTTTGGGGCATTTGAATCAGGACACGTCTCTCCTGATTTCAAAAGGCTTCAATGGAATACAAAAAGAAAACCAGGAGGAATGTACTGTAGGCAACCACATTGTCTGTTTTCATTTGCCATTTAAAAAAGTTAAAATTACCTGTCATAACCTTGAATAGAGTTGAATCTCATAATACAAATCTACAATTACAGTTAATATCTTATCAATTAAGTGGTATAATGAAAGATTCTTTCCTGGTCTCATTAAAGAGAGCTCAGGCTAAGATGGCAATAGAGATTTTCACCTACTAATCCCTAAGAGTCTCAAACTCATTTTTCTCTTAAGGGCCACAATCACAGTTACTTAAAGCTTTCTCAGGGACATCAAACCAAGTAGAGGTCTGTGTCTGAGATTTCTGTACAGACTGAGCCCCTAACTTCAATCCTGTTGCTCTGTTCAGTTACCAAGTGGAAGTCAAAGACCTCCTCACAGGAATAAGACCGCCAGGCAAATTCCTTTCATTTTAGTGAAGAGTTCTTCCATCCACTGTGTGAGAAAACCCAGCTTCCCACTCACATTCCCTTGCATTCCTTTGCCAGCGAGCAAGAGAAAAGAGAGGAAACAGCAGGAATTTCCATTAGTATCCCATGGGATGCTGAGAATGGAGGTTCAGTCACACACTGGGAATGGCCAATCATGCAGGGTCACAGGTCAAGGGAAAGCACACTACAAATATTATAAATCCTGTTGCTTCAAATTATGGTCAACTTGATCTCTGTTGATGCAAAGTTATCATAAGGAAAAGCTGGCATTCCAGTGTGTATAAACAGGTACAATGCAGTTGATGCAGATCAGCGCGCAAAACATATTGGATGTTCCCCTATTGCATGCAGGAAGCATGAGTCTATTCCTGACATCCCAGGAGCTCCACACGGAGTGTGATCCGCTCGTGCCAAGTCTGAGGCAAGATCCGAACAAACTGTGCGTAGAATGGAGGATCAAATATGTTTTTCTTGTGGCTGTAGTTATCATAGTTTCCCTGGAAAACCTGGAATTGTAGATTGAAAACAAATGTATTCTTTATTTTGAAGATACACCTTTTATTGTCTAACATTCCAAAACCTACACTAACTCTGCTAAACTCCCACCCCAACTTCTTCTCCTCAAATAACAGGGCATCTCTCCAAGTTGTCCCTCTTTTGACTAACTGTCCTTCAAATCTCCCTTATCTTGGATATTGAATTTTGGTGGACCACTTAAGATAAAGTCGTATTTAGCTGGGCCTATTGAGATGTTCACACAAACACTTTCCAGCAGGGGTCACTGGTGTGCCAACTGTAGGGAGAAATCACTCTTTAACTCCATCCCTTAGTCCAACTGGCTGAGGTGAACAGTCGTGAGCCCCAGATTACTGGCTGTTCATAAGTCATAGCAGCAGAGAATGGCAATGGAACTTAAAGGCAGATGTACTTTAGAAGGGAGGAAGGAACTGAGGCTTGGGTTGGGACCTAGGTTTAGAGCAGGGCCCTGTTATGGGCCAACTAGAAAAAGAGAAAACCATTTGAAGGTTCCCTCACTTCCCTGTGAAAGCTAAAGGCACTTACTGCATATGCCCGTTATCTATCACCACCTTGTGGTTTGGTAGCATTTACAGGGGCTGAAAGGAGGGAAATCCACTGTCTTCTAGCTCCAATCACCCTGATACCATCATCGCATAGTCCTTGGATAGGGAAGGAGCTGTCCTCTTAGGGGAAGGTGAAGGGTAAATGCCCATGGGGCAGTGAGGTGGATCTAGATTACACAACCTGAAACTTTCTTATATTCACCTGCTCAAGATCAAGTCAAGGAGAATGCCCCTTGTAGGTCCAAACAGCTAAGTCAGACCTGAAATGAAAACAAAAAGTGATGGAGAAACTGTGTGCTATTGTAATGAGGTCAGCCAGATGGACCTCATAGAATATGAGTCCCCTGATTGTGGCTGTTAATCTGGTCCAATCAGGGAGCCCTGGCTGCCAGATATAAACAGGAGTGTCAGACACCCTGTTCACTCTGAGGAAGCTGGATCAGTGTCATGGACTCTTCATGTGTAAATAAAGGGTCATTTGGTGATGGGATATTGGCCTCTGTGGAGTTATTTTGCTCAGCAGGTCTGGCAGCATCTGAGGAGAGTGAAACAGAGCTAACATTTTGAATCTAGTATGGCTCTTCCTTCAAACTCAACACTCAGTTCTGAAGATGTTACGCCTGATTCAAAACATTAACCCTGTTTCTCTCTCTATGGTATTTTCCAGTCTTATTACAGAGTTCCAGTATACACAGTATTTTGCTTTAAGTTGGAATCGTTTCATAAAAATGAAGCAGAGAACTGTAGGTGCTGGAGATCTGAACCAAACAAAAACCAAAAATGCTGGACAAACTCAGCAGTATCTGTTCTGGAGAAGGGTCACTGGACTTGAACCAAGCTGCTTTCTCTCCACATATGCTGCCGGACTTGCTGAGTTGCTCCAGCAATTTTTGTTTTTGTTTGAATCTGAACCATTTTCAGTTAGAATGCCAGTACAAACCAACCCACTTCATTGATCTTTGTTTAACCACATCTGATTCAGAAGCACCCTAAAGTACCTCCCATAAAGACAAATTACATTGAACTGCAGGGACAAGTGTTTATTCTATGCACAGCAATCCAACTGTCTATTTATGATTGGTCCAGGCTGAGGATGGAATGCTGGTCAAGTTTCAGGAAAACAGCCTTCAAGGCAGGAAGTTGCTGATGGTTTTATACTCATTTTTACACTCGCTTTACTGAAACAGCGACCTGAAACACTGAAATAGCCAGATGGAGTCCCAGTTAAGAACAGGTGAGCTCCCCTGACAGTTCTGTAGTGGACTGCCAATTTCAATAAGATGCACAAGAGTTGGAATCATGCTTTATTCTACCATTTGCTCTCCCAGAGGTGATGTTGTCAGTAACTGAGCCAACCCGACACAGCATAGCTACAAACACCAAAGATAAATGTGAATACTTCCCTACTGACATCCTTTGAAATTCTCTTGGCTCAGTTGGGCTTTTCAGCGCAGCCCCCCATGTAGTTTGGGGATAGCAAGAACTGCAGATGCTGGAGTCAGACATAACACAGTGTGGAGCTGGAGGAACACAACAGGCCAGGCAGCATCAGAGGAACAGGAAAGTTGACATTTTGGGTCAGGACCCTTCTTTTCCCCTCTACCATTTCAGGAGAAGGGCCCCGACCCGAAATGTCACCTTTCCTGCTCCTCTGATGCTGCCTGGCCTGCTGTGTTCCTCCACCATGTAGTTTACCTTGTCTTTCCCTGTGATGCTGTCCTGGTAAATAGTCCATGACTGTCCATCATCACTGAAGGCAATTTTAAAGGATTCTACATATTGAGCTACTCCAAAATCTTTTGCTCCTTGGGTGATAATGCCAGTGACTTTTTTAGGAATCAAGAGGTCAATCTAGAAAAGAGACAAAAGACAAAAAAAAATAAAATGGTGAAAGAGCTGAAGCCCAATCGAGCCTTCAAACATTTAGAATACAAATTGCAAACTCATAAACTCCCTGCGACACATTTCACGTTTACTTCAGTTTTAAAACCAGTATTTGGTTCCTCCTGAAGTTGGTAACTTATATGCTCCTAGATGTTAGTGTTGTGAATCCCCTCTTAATCCTCATCCACATGACAATTCCTTCTCTATGAGCCTAGTATTATGACTGAGGTTAAAATAGACTCTCAATTTTCAACGTCATTCACCTGATTTTAATACCTGGCTCCTTTTCATGGACTAAAATGGTTTTAAAAATAGGAAAATACTTACTGAAGATTGTTACGGTAATCACCTGACCCAGTTGAACCAAGCTCATGAGACCATCAATAAGCAGGACCGAGGTTGAACTGAAATTAACATGTCATCTAAATGACTGAAACCAGTCATTCAGATCTGCATCTCCTAATTGATTCACACCTTTCAAAAAGTTTTAGACATGGGATGAAAGTTCTCTATAGATTATTCCCAGTTGGTAAAAAAAACAATGAAGCTAGACACATGATTATGCAATGGAATTGTATTTCACACGACATCTTTTGGGCAAAGAGAGAACAAAATGGATTTAAAACAGCAGAAATGGAAGGCTTGTTCACTTCCTCTCTCTGTTTCTCCCAGCATCTCAAAATAGTGACCAAAACAAATCAGAGAATCATCTAAAGATACCGACACATTTTACCACTGATGAGGATGGAATACGTCAACAAAACAACTGTGGTCTCAGAGTAAACCCAACACTTGGAGGATTTTTCAAACTACATACTCTTGATCTTCCTTTTTGTGCTTGACATTTCCCACTTAGTAAACTTTATGCCTGTGTTTGATGTTGTATTTTATTATTTTTCTTGGTATTAGTAAGTAATAAGATTCTTCCATCTTTCAACCAGGAAAACATTGTAATTGGCTCTAATTTTGACTCGCACTACATTTTAACTAAAGTGTGGTACAGGTCCGTACTTAAAATATTTAGCACTGGGCATTGAGTCTTCCTGGGCTTCCTTGGATATGGAAGAGGGAACATACCAGTTAAAGCTTTGCCCATTTGACTCAAACTCTTGTGAGAGGTGAACAGAGGAAATTTGATTTGATACAGTTTAAGGAAATGTCTCATTGATAGCCCCCTCCAAGAATATTTATGGAAATACTCAATAATATAAATCCAATGTAATAATCTATGTTAATCAACTCAAATCTGTACATTTGACAGATAATACTCATATGATTCCAAGTGAATGGAATCATTACTTCCTATGCATATTTGAGTATTTATGGTTTATTCTTCTAATTACATGATCAGATTTCAAATGTTAGGTGACTATGAAGAGTTCCTCATGGCAGACTGGTACAAAAGGCGAAGGCATTTGGTGTCAGGGACGATCTGGCAAGATGGATGCAGAACTGGCTTAGTCATCGGAGACATAGGGTAGTGATGGAAAGGATGTTTTCCAGAATGGAGGGCTGTGACTAGTCATGTTCCACAGTGATCAGTGCTGGGACCTCTATTGTTTTGTGATCTACATAAATGATTTGAAGGAGAACGTAGCTGGTCTAATTAGTATGTTTGTGGATGATACAATGATTGGTGGAGTTGCAGATAGTGAGGAGGATTGTCAGAGGATACAGCAAAATATAGATCAGTTGGAAGCATGGGCAGAAAAATGGCAGATGAAGTTTAATCTGGATGAATGTGACACAAAGCGTTTTGTAAGGTCAAGTACAGATGGAAATTATGCAGTAAATAGCAGAACCCTTAGGCGTATTGATATGCAGTGGGAACTGTGTGTACAGGTCCACTGAAGGTGGCAGTGAAGGTAGGTAAGGTAGTAAAAAAGGCTAATGGCATGCTTGCTTTCATTGGAACGGGCACTGAGTATAAGGATAGACAAGTTATGTTGCAGTTTTGAAGAACATTAATTAGGCCACACTTGGAATACTGCATACAGTTCTGGTCTCCACATTACCAGAAGGATGTGGATGCTTTGGAGAGGGTACAGAAAGGTTTACCAGGATGTTGCCTGGTATGGGGTATTTTAATTATGAAGGAAGGTTGGATAGACTTGGTTTGTTTTCACTGGAACATAGGAGGTTGAGGGGCGACCTAATAGAAGTTTAAAAGATTGTGAATGGCATGAATAGAGTGGAAAGTATGAGGCTTTTTCCCAGCGTGGAGGGGTCAATTATTAGGGGACACAGGTTCAAGGTGCGAGGGGGGAAGTTTAAAAGAGATGCACGAGGCACGTTTTTCACACAAAGGGTGGTGAATGCCTGGAACATGCTGCCAGAGGTGGTGGTGGAAGAAGACACAATAGCAGCTTTCAAGAAGCACCTGGACGAATACATGAATAGGAAGGAAACAGAGGGATACGGATCCTGTAAGTGAAGACAGTTTTAATACGGGGGAGCAAAATGTGTCGGCACATGCTTGGAGGGCTGAAGGGTCTGTTACCGTACTGTATTGTTCTTTGTTTCTGTAACAGTGTGAATTTGAAGTTCACTGCTCACTGAGCTTCATCTCCCTTCATTTCTAGTCGATCTACTCTTGGGCAGGAATTAGGGAGCAAGAAGATGATTTTCAGTAATTTGTTCTACTGTTGTGATGGTCATGCCATCCCCATGTTTTTTTAATCCCAATGCTCTACTTTCCCCACATTACTTAATGGCTTTTGCAGCACAGATTGAGCGAACTCTCCCTTTTAAGTACACAAAGTCATTTCACAATCAGAACTTTCAGAGGCACTGCACAACCCCATGTATGAAGCCATTTTATTTCTGAATCCACACTTAATAAATGCAGCTAAAATTCAAAAATTAAGTTACAGTAGCACCAGAATGTTCCATCAGAAATATCCAGTTTCTAACTTATTCATTCACTAAACAATGACATGCATTTATTCAAGAAGGTTTAGAGCCAATACCTGAAGCCACTGTGATTTGTTGCTGAGCTCAGCAGTCCAGGCATTGGTTTTCCCTCGTTTGTCCAGACGTGCTAAGCAAGGTGCCCAAGTGAAAGCGTCGATTCCCCACATTTTGTAAGTACTCGAGGCAGTAATCTGATTGTTTCTAATGAGTCTTGACTTCATTCCAAGTGGCTCCGAACAACCTGTTGTGTTTAAGTAAACTGTAAACACAAATTTTTATGACAGAGTGGGAAGTAACTCCAAGTCACTGAATATAGAAAAAAAACACCATCCTTTATCCTGTCTGTTCTTTTGAAGCCCCTGGCTCTGAACAGCCTTCTGTACTTCATCAACTGATAATTTTTCATGGCATTCACCCTTGGTCAGCTCAACAGGAACAGAACAAATCAACTGTTGATTGTGAAGTTCCAGACTTTGGCATTTTGGCATTTCCAGAATCTGGACAATTTTGTTTGATTAAAAATAAAATGATCAGGGTTCTTGACAACAACCAGATGAACCACAAAATAGTAGGGGATAGATTTTGTTTGAAATTTCTACACAGAGAGAATGCCCAATCTCTGTCTGTCATGTGAGGCACTAGAGAGAAGTTCCACCCCACAGAACAAGAAAGCACAAGGTCAAAAGGGCACGTCAACCTTAGACACCACCTTGGAGTTCCTCTACCTCAGTATAGAAAACAGTATTTGGAAAAGTTTAACAATGGATTTTGTTTTGACGGCTGGGGTATGATGCATGGACACAAAGAACGATATAGAACTGGTAACAGACCTATAAGTTTGTAAAATAATTAGACTAGCACATCTGTGGTGGGTCAGCAGTGGACACTATAAGTGAATCCACGCCCTTGACTGTAATGCATTGATGCCTGTTGGATACTGTGCTTCAGAGAACGATTGGGTGGGAATAGGGCATTGCCTCAAATTTATAGAGCTTGGTAACACTCAATAATCAGAATTACACCTCACTGCAGTATCTGCAGGTTACCTGCAGGTGCAGTAGCCCACCTCAGCACAGAATCAGAAATTCATTAGGAAAAATGTTGAAGTATTGCTAATGGGGAGGACAAGACTCAGTTTATTTGATGGAGGGACAAAGACATGGATCACAGTGCTCATTGACTAAAGTTTTCTCTCATATACTCCTTTATTTCTGTGTGCCTTCCAGTTACTCCAAGTACCTTACATCAAATGAACTATTTCCTATTAGTAATCTAACACTCACTGTCAACAGAGATGTTAGTGGTCGTACATAAACAGATTGGCAGACTAGCTCAGCTCCCCCATTCAGCTCACTGCTTCCCATAATGGGATATCCCATTCTTACCATCATGCTGCAGATTCTGAGCCACTGAGAAAGAACAAATAAATAACATTAATACTTGTGATGAGGTAACATCTTTTCCGGCATCTTTACTTTGAAGCATGGTGACATTCGTCATGTTAGAAAGCCCAGCAGTCTGTCTGCACCAACAATGGCTAGCCAGTTTGCTCTTTGCTTTTGGGTGGTTGAAGGAGCAAAGGTTGCCCACAGGTATTGAGAGAACAGGAACACAGGCAGGTGGTGCCGGTTTTATGCTCATTGGTAGTGTTAAACACTAGCGGTGAAGAAGGTTGTTGGACAGAGTGCAGGCATATATTTTTTAGTTGGAATTTTATTTCAACTTGTCCATTACAAAATTCCAACCCATTGATTATTTACAATATAATACAGCACAGGAACAGGCCCTTCGGCCCACCAAGTCTGAGTTGATTCCTAGTCCTTATTTGGACCCGCTACTTATTGCCCATGCGCGGTTTCTATTGCTCTGATAGACACATGAACAATAGGCAATCAAGATACGCCTTAAACGTTGCTAATGTGCCTGCTTCCACCACCATCTATGGCGGTCTATTCCAGGAGCCCACCACCCTCTGTGCGAAAAATTTCCACTGAACTTCTCCGCTAAATTTTTCCCCTCTCACCTTGAACGTGTACCCTCTTGTAGTTGACCTTTGCACCCTGGAAAAAGCTTCTGACTATCCACCCTATCTATGCCTCTCATAATTTTGTATACCTCTATCACCCCTCAGCCTCCATCTTTCAGTGAAAACAATCCCGTTTATCCAACCTGTCCTCATAACTAAAACCCTCCAGACCAGGCAACATTCTGGTGAGCTTTCTCTGCGCCCTCTCCAAAGCATTCACATCCTTTTGGTGGTGTGGCAACCAGAACTGCACACAATATTCTAAATGTGGGGGTCTAACTAAAGTTTTATACAGCTGTAAGATAACTTGCAAACTTTTACGCTCAATACCCTGGCCAATGAAGGCAAGCATGCTGAATGCCTTCCCGACCACCTTCTCCACCTGTGTTGCCACTTTCAAAGATCTGTGGGCCTGCACACTCAGATCCCTCTGTACGTCAATGCTCCTAAGGATTCTGCCATTTATTGTATAATTCATACCTGAATTTGATCTTCCAAAATGCATCACTTCGCATTTGGATTAAATACTGTTTGTCATTTCTCTTGTTCCCCATATATCTACCTAGTCAAATTACTCAATTATCTCTTAATGAATAGATAACAATCAGCTCTTCCCTAGTTCAGTTTGGTCTCGGACATCCTGTCAGACCCCTCTTGAGGCTAACATGAAGAACAATACCTCTGAAATGTACAGCACACTTTATATCCCATATAACAGACCATCCGCCTGTATTATGCACATAAGCCCTAGCATGGAGGGGCTGAATCCACAGGATTCTGTACCCAGAAACAAAAGCGCTACCAATTCTTCACACTCTCAGATGCCTGAGCCAAACTGATTCATATTGGGGAAATAAAATCATTAACTCTGAGAGAAGAGTCAGGTAAATAACTAGATGTAATAGAACTACAGTAAAAATAAGGATAGACTAGTGATCAAATATTTCACCATGATCCTGTAGTCCTGAGAATGGGGGAAGGCCATTTTTGGCAACTGAATAATGGAGACAGGAAGATATTTATTATTCTGGTACGGGATGTGGTATCACTGGCAAGGACCCCATTTGTTGCCCATCCCTAATTGCTCTTAAATGAAGTGGTTTGCTAAACTTTTCAGAGGACAGTTCAGATCCACATGTAGAGCAGACCAGGTAAGGATGGTAGGTTTTCTCCCATAACAACTTCAGTGAACTAGATGGATTGTTTACAACAATCATCAGCTGCTCGTCATTAAACTAGAGTTCAATCTCAGTTTGTTAAAATTTAAATTTTATCATCTGTCACGGTGAGATTCAAACCCATGTTCACTGGGGCCTCTGGATTACTAGTCTAGTGATATTAACACACCACGGTCACCTCCCCTTCTGAAGTTATGTCTGTTTATACTGAATGATAAGGAAGTCATTAGTGAGAACTCTCCTCAAGATATTAAATGGGTGAAGTAGAGTTCAGGGTAAATTAGAACCTGGGGAAGAGTCGCATTGGACTCAAAACATTATCTGTGCTTTTCTCCGATCACAGACCCTGCCAGAACTGTGGAGATTCCCCAGAACTTTCTATTTTTATTTCAGAGCTCCAGCATCCACAGTATTTTGCTTTTATTTCAGAGTAAAGTTGTTTGTGCTATAATTCTGTGAACTAGAAACATCAACTTAGCAGCAATCTCACACTAATTAAATCATGATTAACAACAATATAATTTTAACCACCAATCTCATGCTGATCACATTTAATTGTCTGAGTATACACTACCAGCATTACAATGCACATTCTTTTTGTCATAAACAACACTAAAAACTACATTTAAACAGTCACTCAGAGATAGTAGGAACTGCCTATGCTGGAGTCTGAGATAACAAGGTGTGGATCTGGATGAACACAGCATAAGAAGGGTCCAGACCCGAAACATCAACTTTCCTGCTCCTCTGATGCCACCTGGCCTGCTGTGTTTATCCAGCTCCACACCTTGTTATCTACATTTACATAGCATCATTCATGCAGTAAAACACCCCATTTTACATCACAAAAACATTGTGAATAAATATTTCCTCCTTAAAGCTATTTCCTGTGTTGATACCTGAATAGATGGGCAGTTGAGGATAGTTTCCATTACCTACCTCCTCTAAAGAATTTTGGAAAGACATATTATCTCCCCTTGCATTCTGCTCCCATCCCTGGGGCCAAGCTCCAGAGCTATTGATTTTCATTTCACCTGAACTACTCCTGATCTAAAATTTACCGTTCAGTTCACAGCCAATCAGCTCCATGCGCAGGGTGCAGGCTCTCTGACACACCAAAGGAATAAGGCGGATGTATTGGGCAATAATGGGTGGATCAATCAGATTCGTGTTCTGTTCGTTGTTATTTCGGTTTCCAGTAAATAACTGCGAGAACAAGAAAAGGCATTGTATATCATAATGGTAAATCAGCAAATTGTAAATATACAACATCTAGACAATTGGGAAAATGTTGTTACATCTGTATACCAGCAACGACACTCCTGGCATTATTTCTCCCTCAAATATTTTCTCTCCTCTGATACTTCACTAAGGAGTTCCAAAACTGATTGCTGCTCTTTATCATCTTTTTGTCTTTAATGTCCTTTATTATCAACTTAGACAATGAGTCCTCACAGACGTTATGAACATAGACAACAATCACAGCTACGCTTGAGCCCTGTCTTTAAGCAACACCCAAATGAAACTGGGGGTTTCACCATTCTAGCCCAACATTAAGTGAATTTTACATCCAACCCAGCCCAGTATTAGACCACTGAGATCGGGTAAATGTGAAGAACCAAGCAATTAGGCTTGGGAACATTCTCACTTGAATAGCTCGGCAAAGTAAGTAAAAGGTTTACATTAGTTTAGCGACTTTCATAACCTCAGGACATCCTCTATGTCCAATGAAGTTATTTTTCAAATCTAATCACTGTGGGAAATGCAGCAGCTAATATGAGCCAGGACCCTCCCAAAACCAGAAATGTTAGTGACTAGAAAATCATTTTGGAATGTTGGCTCTAGGATAAACTTTGCCCATGACTGCTATCAGGGGATCTTATGTATCCACCTAAAAAGGCACACAAGGCCTTTGTTTAATGTCACAGGTGAAAGTCCACACAGGTCAGCGTTATTACCAACTTGGCCAACAAACAAACATCTATCTTTATCACTTGGTGTTTGACTACTTATTAGGATTCTGTACAAATGAGAGTGAATAACAAGGCTTCACCTGAAACTTTCTGAAATGCAGTGACAAATATAATTTTTAACCCATACCCAAGGCCCAGTTAATTAGGGCCTTTTGAGAAAGTTTCATTCACAAAGATCGCTATCATTTCCACTTTACCTTGTCTTTATTGTTTTCGTTGTCTTTGACAGTGACAAAGTTTACTCCATCGAAGCCGTAAGCAATTTTAAACATTTTGATGTATTCTGGAGACCCCATTGCCAATGCACCCTGTGTGATAACCCCAGTAATTTGCATTCTTCTCAGCAAATTCACCTGAAAAACCAAAATAAAAAGTTATCTTTTCATGAGAACAAAAGAAAAGCATTGTCCTTCAAAGCAAGTAATGGTACTGAAATTGGGCCCTTGAATTCAGAAGTTGCAGGTGCAAAAAAACACTCCATCCAGCTCTGAAAAAGCAAAAATGATAGATGCTCCTCCTCAAGTGAAGCCTGGGGTTGGCAGTGGAGGAACTGGATAACCTGGTAGGAAAGATTAGGCGATGAGGGGAAATGGCAGTAATGAGGTTCATTACCGTACTTAAAGTGACAACCCACCTTCTTACAGAAATGTCATCCGTTTGAGGCATTGTCATGCCAATGTGGAATCAGATGAGAGGTTTCAACTTTAAAAATCTCAACTGTGATACCACCATTACTACTTCCACGTTTAACAGAAGCAGGTCAAAGGGATGCGCAGCCAATCCACTCCCCTGAGGCAGGTTGTCTATTTAAACATTTTAATATGGTTGACAATCTCTGCTTCAACTCATGCATTGGGAAGCAGCAGCAGAGGTGAGCCAAGGTCAACTTTGGAGAGGTGTTAAGGGCCTTTACAGCACTGCTCATGGATCAGGATGAGCAGGAATACATTCCCTCTCCCTCATCCCAGCCCCTGATTCTCACCCTCTTCCCTCATATCAGAGGCCTCCCTCTCAGACCCTGCGAGTGAGGTTCAGATCCACATCCCAGCTTTAAGGATCGAAGGCCCCCCATTGTCCCCCTCCAGCTGTGGACTTTTAACCTGGGCCAGTTGTCTGCTCCAGAATGCTCTCCTTCTGATGAAAAGCCAAGCCTATTAATCAGGGATACCCCCTGGTGGGGATCAGGTGATCAAGAAAATGTCCACACTGTGGCAACAGAACACCACAGCTCGTAGGGGAACCCCAGACTTGGATTTTCCCTTCCGTGTGACACAACACCCAAACTCTCCAAATCCGTCCCCTTCAATGCCGGAGTCATGGGGCTAAATTTTATGGTGATCATTTGGGCAGGCCCAACTCCACGTATATGTAAAATATCACGTGGGTAATCTGACGTCATTCCCACCAGTCTCGGATAACACGGAACGTAACCAGGTCCTGAAATTGCAGGCCTCCCCACCTCCACAGAGAAGCCAGTGAACAGGCTATCTCGTGTTTTATCAAGCCAACAGACTGTTGAGTTTTCGTGAGCCACTCCGTTTTATGGGAGGTACATGGCAGTAATGTCAGGAGTGCTTAATGCCCAGTGTGTGGAGATGTGACAGGGACACATGAAAGGCCTGTGAGGCTCAATGATGTCCTGTTTGGATGAGAGGAAGCTCATCTGAAGCATAAACACTAAGGGTCCATTGGGTTACTTAGCTTGCTTCTATGCTCTAAATAGGATGTAATACTCCAGAGGGGTTTCATCAGAGCAGCTGTATATTTTGATGGTGACTTCCTTTGACTTTTACTCTTCTGGCAGATGGTACCTTCACTGGCATTGTTGGCCATTGGTCTGTAATTGGCAGGACATAGTAAGCATCAAATGCCTTGTTCAATTGGAAGGTTTCCTGTAATCTCTGAATTTTACAGGACTTTAAGAAAGGCCGTCCTGGTGTGACAATATGCTGGGGGCAGCTGTGACAAGGTCAGCATGGGTCATTGATCCCACACAGACTGCAGGACCTATTCTTGGGAGTTACTAGCCAATCTGGGTGGCATGGTGGCTCAGTGGTTAGCACTGCTGCCTCACAGTGCTAGAGACCTCGGTTCAATTCCATCCTCAGGCAACTGTCTGTGTGGAGATTGCATGTTCTCCCTGTGTCTGTGTGGGTTTCTTCCAGATGTTCTGGTTTCTTCCCACAGTGCAGGTTAGATGGATTAGCTACGGGAAATGCAGGGTTATAGAGTAGTGTGGTGGGTCTGGGTGGGATGCTCTTCAGTGACTAAGTGTGGACTTGATGGGCTGAATGGCCTACTTCCACACCGTTGGGATTCTATGATCTGATTGGTCAGCAGCTGATTGGCCCTTGCAGCGCCAGTACTCCTTGTGGTCATTGCTGAGATTACAGGCAGTCCCAAGAAGATGACAGACAAAAGGTAACTCGAGGCTTTTTTGGGTGGAGAGGGGTCAGGGGCCCCGCTGAAGAGGATGATCGTTTAGGTTTCGGAGGCCAAGGTGGAGAGGAGTGTGTAGTTAGAAAGCCGAGCATAACATCTTGTGTTGGGAATGCTCCAGAGGCACACAGGACACCCTGCCCAAAAGAACTTACCCCCTTTCTTTCTGCCTTTTCACTAGAGATAATGAAAATCAGGCTGGCCATTTGTCAGGATCTTCCACTGTCTACCTTATTGTGGAAGCTGAGGCAGAAAGAAGTCTTTAACTAGGAGAAGCAATATAAGCTGAAGGGTTCAATTCTTAAGGTTGAGAAAATGTCTAAAATGGTACATGGGATCCTACGTTATTTAAACAAACATGATGTAGACAAAACGATGAAGTATGACGAACTTTTATTAAGCACTGGCTCAGGCTCAACTTGCATACAGTGTCCAATTCTGGTGAGGAGGATTTGATGGCATAATATTGTGCAGAAAAAGAATGACGAGAATTGTTCTAGGGATAAGGGACTTTGGTTGTGTAGATTGGAGAAGCTGAGATTGTTCACTTTAACTGGTCAGCTATGAGCCTCAATAGGCCTGAGGGTCAGCAGGCTGGTCGATGCCTCACCCAGCCGATTATGGGGGTGTGGCTGGGGAGTGGAGAGGGAAAAGGCCTACCTGGGGACTGTAAAAGTTGCCCCCCCTCCTCACCCCCACTCCCAGAATCATTTTGGCACAGAAGGAGGCCCATCTGCTCCATGACACCTCTCCATAGAAAAATCCCATCAGTGCTACTTCTCTGTTCTCTCCTCGTAGCCCTGCAAGTTTATTTTCCTGAGCTGCTGATCCAATTTCCTTTAGAAATCATTAATAATGTCAGTATCCACCAGTCTCATAGACAACAGGGTCCATGTCATCACCACTCAGCACCTAAAAAATGTTTTTCTCATTTCCTCCTAATCACCTTGCCTGAACTGTTCAACCCATTTCCGCCCCCCAACCCCCATCTCCCGACATACCCAGTGTAATACCATCAGTTGAAGGGAACAGCTTTGCTCTATCCATTGTATCCAAACCTATCACAGACTTGGAAAGATTCACTTAGACTCGGTACCTGAAACCAGGGATTAAGGTCAAAGGTTGCCATGCTCCAAGCATTCACAATTCCCTTGTTGTTGAGCCGTGCCAGCTCTGGGCGCCAACGTTTCAGACCGAGAAATCCTAGGTGCAGTGAGGAGGCAGAGATCTGGTGGTCATCTATTGCTCCTCCCTCCATCCCCAAAGGACTTGCGCAAGCTGAAACAAAGAGGTTAAGGGGCAACCGGTGAATAGCTGGGAGTGAGATTCCTTAAGATTGTTGACAAATCCCAGATTGCAGGCCAACAGCAGAGAGGCAGCATTCCAGAAAGTTTGAAGAGTTGATTGGAGGAAGCAGTAGCGATTGCATGTTGCCAAGTCTAGATTTGGAAAGCATGAAATTGGTAGGTGAAAGGGAAGTCGATAGGTCAGGGAAGGCATTCTGAGGTCAGGGGGCACATGAAGTTGGATTCGGAGACAAAGCAATGAATCTGGACTTGAATGCAACTTCCTACCTAGGATAAAAAGAGAAATTGCTCAAGAAACTCAGCAAATCTGGCATTATCTGTGGGAAGGAAGCAGAGTTAAAGTTTCGAGTCTGGTGACTCTTCATCAGAATTCTGTTTTCTTCCCACAGATGCTGAGTTTCTCCAGCAATTTCTGTTTTTCTTTCAGATTTCCAGCATCTGCAGTTTTTTGTTTGATTCCTTGCTGGGATGTTCATAACCTGTTGGGCTGTTTCTATAACATTGGGCAAGGGAGTCACCCAATATCAACTCTTTTTTTTGTGTGAAAAGAGACAATAGCTAACTGAATTGCCAAACAGCGAGGATAAAACAAAGCCAATGCTAACACAGAGTAGGTAAGAAAGAGCAGGTGAACAATTTAATGCAGGGGATTTTTTTCCTCCCTCAGGCTGGCTGCTCTACATTCCAATTGCTTGCGAAGGTAACAACCCATTGTCTCAGTAAATCCTCTCCTCTCATCCCCAACCCCCCACCACTCCACCAGGACAGATTCCTTCCTGATCAAATTTCATTCAAAAGGGAAATTTGCAGATGAGAGGGCAGCAGCTGTTTACTTGTGTGTTGGATGTGGTTTGTAGCAGGTAATTCCACATTAAATTAGGAGAATGGGCCTGATTCATTGAACATCATTTCCTACTCTCCTGGAGGAATGTTGAAAATACGGCAGAAACTATAGTGCCTATAAAGCATAGTTGAGTGAATAACCACAAAAAAGGATTGTTAATAGAGACTTAATGTGCTCTTCCAAGATCCTGTTTCCTTCCCTAGCTGCATGTCACTCATCCAAAATATTACCCCCTCCTCTCCTGAAACTGGGGTACAATTCCACAAGCGTCACCACTCTCCAATAGCTCAGCGAATTTGTCACATTGAGAGACGAGCTACTAACTGGCAGCGGGCTGGTTGGCAATGGATGGCATCATAGCTGGACTCAATCCTGTCCTCAACAAGCACCTGACTCATGCAAACATTTCAGCAGGAGGCACTGCATTAGGCCAGGCACAGGCGCAGGATCATCTTGGTACAGAACATGAGAGAGGTCACGCCTGGTGAATTAAACACTTACGGCTGGGCACAAAGGGCCATCGTGAATTATTTCCAGGTCAAGAACAGTGCAAATCATCTACAGTGTAAATGCCTGTATTCTATCCCAAAAATGTACCTCCTGCTGGAAACAGGGAGAATCATTGATATCAATATAAGGGTGAGTAGATGAGCTGAATGGTTTCCTTCATCTGTACTTGATTTGGTGACATTTACCTGAATATAAGGTGTCATCACCAAGTTCGCAAACCATCATCTTAATACAGTACAGTACAAGAAAAGATCACACTGTACCCTCTTTCTGAACTGCTTAACGATTGAGGAGAGCACTCATTCTATTTCTCACACAGGTCTCCCCGAGTAAGATCGTTTCTGATGAAGGGTCTAGGCTCGAAACGTCAGCCTTCCTGCTCCTATGATGCTGCTTGGCCTGCTCATCCAGCTCTACACCTTGTTATCCCAAATGATCTCAGACAGCTTTTGTAAATCCAGTCCCACTCCCTGTACCTGGTAGGCAAGGGAGGCTGCCAACCCTCTGTGGATTTTAACCTCGAGGTGAAACAGGCAAGTGCCCACACCACAGTGCCATCTGATGGCCAACCCAACATTCAGGCTATGAGCTGATGAATAGCACAAACACTCACTGTGTTGGCAGCTTTTCCCCACATATGGAGAGGGGCAATCACATGAGAAATCTGCATCCAGATCCACACACTGTCCTCCATTCATACATGGCTGGGAAGAACAATCATTGACATCTGGAAAAAAAATCAATTTGAGTATTTGTTAATATTATTTATCATATTGAAAAACATTGCACAGTGGCTCAGTGGTTAGCACTGCTGCCTCACAGCACCGGGGATCCAGGTTTGATTCCAGCTTCAGGCAACTGTCTGTGTAGAGACTGCACATTCTCCCCGTGTCTGTGTGAGTTTTCTCTAGGTATCCTGGTTTCCTCCCATAATTCAAAGATGTGCGGGTTAGGGTGGATTGGCCATGCTAAATTGCCCATAATGTCCAGGGAAGTGCAGGCTGGGTGGGTTAGCCATGGGAAATGCAGAGTTACAGGGATAGGGTTGGGGGATGGGTCTGGGTAGGATGCTCTTCAGAGGGTCAGTGTGGACTCGATGGGGCAAGTGGCCTACTTTCAGTTCACTGTTTTTGCCCCACCACTGTTGATGAAGCCTTTAAACATACAATCCGACTATGTGAAATTCCTTCCCTGAATCTCTGTCCAAATGTTTAAGCCTCTTTTGAACCTATCTTTTCAACAAAGCTTTTGGTCATACTTTCCCAGCCTGCCCTTTTTGGTTTTCCCTCTGTATAGACACCGGGATTACTTCTGTATGAAAGATACCCTGTGGCTGAAAGATATTATTGTTTAACTGCAAACAAAGAGATTGCTGGAGAAACTCAGCACATCTGGCAGCATCTGAGAAGACAGACACAGAGTTAATGTTTCAAGTCCAGTTTGACTCTTCTTCAGAACACCTCTAATCACAGCCATTGCCAGACATGCTGAGTTTCTCCAGCATTCTCTGTGTTTCTTTCAGATTTCCAGTATCTGCAGTATTTTGCTTTCATTTGTTGTTTTGGTTAAGGATATGGAGGAGGGACAGCCATTTAGAACTTAGACAAGGGGAGATTTCTTCACTCAAAGTGTGCTGAATCTTTGGAATTCTCTACCCCAGGGAGCTGTAGATATTCTTTGAATGTATTGAAGATAGAGGTTGATAGACTTTTGGGATATGGGATATGGAATAGAAAGATGGCTTGGGAATGTACACAGGATGGAAGATGGCTGTATCCCCAAGGATATAGGGAGGTACACCAAGGCTAGAGATCAGCAGTGCCTAAAGCTTCAATTCAAGGATGTTACGAGAAGACACATGGAAATCTTTAACATCAATCACAAAATGTTGGATAAATACAAATAGCAACAAGAGCTGTGGGCAGGAATTTACCACCACTGCATCATGTGGTTTTAGAAACTCGACAGCAGATGTCAACCCTCCAACAAACTGTCAGCAGAGATCAAGCTCACCACCAGCAAAGAACAACTTTGTGGTTGTCACTTTATGGCAGACTTTACTTTGCCAGAATCAGCTTGTTCTGACATCAGAAGAAGTGCAGCACATGATCTCATTTGACCTCGCTGAAGTCCACAGGCTGCTTTCTATCTCCATGTGGATGAAAGGATGTTACATAAGGGACTTTGAGAGATGGTGAAGTTAAGGTAGAAGATCAACTATGACCTTGTTGGTGAAGCAAGTTTGAAGGGCCAAATGGTCTAATCTAGTTCTGATTTCTTATGATGATGTTAGGTTGTGTTTCCAGCCTAGTAATTCAGCAACTGTAGGTTCAAAACCTTAAATTCAGTTTATGTAATCTGGAAATAAAAAGATGGCACCAGTAAAAGTGACCAAGTGAATTGTAATAAAAACCCATTGGCTTCACTAATGTCTTCAGGATAGGAAACATGTCATCTTTACTCAACCTTGTCTAATTTTGATTCCAATCCCACACAAAAATGACTGACATTTAACTGCCCTGTGAATTGACTAAAAAACATCCACTTTTACCAAAAACAATGAGGAATGCATAATAAATATTGGCCTTGCTACTGATGCTCACTTCCCAATCATTAATATTACAAAACCTCCTACAGGCTTATAACTTTCATTGTAAGAACAAGGTTGCATGAATGTATGGCCAATTAAGATGGCATGTTATAAATTGACTTACATCAGAATTTTGTGTATTTACATGCAAAACTATTTAACCACAGTACAAAAGCTTCACAGCATGAATTCAACAGACCCAAGTACCACTCAGAAACTGAAAGGGCCAGGCAAGAAAATGAAGAAGGGCCAAATGGAGATGGCAGAAATATTTTCTACTTTCAATCTCGTGGGTTACTAATATGCAATCTCACACTTTAGAATCATATTAGGTACTGTCAAAGCTCATAACCCGATCTGTTGTCATGGTCAATGGGTCATCTCCTGATTGCCGCACCATTGAGTGATGTGCTATCTTTGCCCTGTGGCTCCACACATAATAAACTTGTTCAAATCACATTTCAGTGACCCAATTCCAAATGAAATACCTGCTGTTCTCCCACACAAAATAAAGTGCAGGCCAATCTAATGTTTTGAATTGAGAATAAAACTCTTTCATAAACTCTCTTTTCTTTTCCCATACCTAGTAGTACATAAGACAGACAGAACATATACCTGCATAACTTGTATTTCCAGGAACAGGTTGCTAAGCTGAAGATATAGCCACATCAGGTATGACTGACCGCAAGACTCCCCTGTTCTTGCCACACTGGAAGGATTCACAAGTCAATCATCAACCCATCTGGTCATTGACATGAACATTTCAAGGCCGTCACCCTTCGAATGGGATTCAAACTCAGAATGTCTGGGTCAGAGGCAGGGGCACTATCCACCTCACATAGGGCAAACAGATAAGGAGCGCATTTCATCCTAGCCAACCCATGCTGTTACAATGCCTCATTGAAAAATATAAACGCTTCCTGACTTTTTGTCTCCTCTAATAGAAACCATTCCAGATGTTAGTCACTCTTTGTGGGAAAACATTCTTTTTACCATGTCGTACAAACGTCCCATTTGTCCTGCAAAAATTTACTCTGGAATAGTTCTCAGGATTAAATTTTCTATTCCATTTAACATTTTAAATCTTGAATAAAGGCGTTTTCTCATTGCTGGTTTGCAATCTGAAGATTCAAATTTTTCCTTGTCTTTCCTCATACCACAGGATTAACTTTGTAACCCTTCATTGCATTGCTTTCAGTTCTGTTTTAGAGGGGCATTTTTATGGAAAGTTGGTAACCCTACTTCTTAACTGCATTTTGTTGATGAGTTTATCTGGTCATTAAGAACCAGAAAAGGAACATTATTGTATCCTAGAGATAGTAAGTATTGCCGATGCTGGAGTCAGAAATAACACAGTGTGGAGCTGGAGGAGCACAGCAGGCCAGGCAGCATCAGAGGAGCAGGAAAGCTGAAATTTCAGGTCGGGACCCTTCTTCAGAGGGTCCCGACCCGAAACGTTAACTTTCCTGCTCCATTATTGTATCCCATCTCAGCAGTATCCTACAGCCAGGTGAGGTGTGAACAAAAGCCAAGCACTAACAGAGTTGCCTCACGTCCGCCTGGGACTATTAGCAGAGGTGGGTGCTACTCTTCAGTAGTACTTCTCTTTTAATGCAATCTTCAGCAAAGATCTTAATCTCTCAACTTCTCAAGCTTTCTAAAAAAAACATGTTTTATACTTATTGTAATACCATCAGAGGTCAATAGACTCACAAAACTCTAGGATCTTGCAGGAGCCTGTTACACCCAATTTGATTCAAGAAGTGTTTAGATATGGTTCTTAGGATTAAAGGCATCAAAAGATATGGGAGAAAGCAGGAACAGGGTGCTGAGTTGCATGATTAGCCATGATCATATTGAATTTCAGAACAGGCTCAAGGGGCTGATTGGCCTACTCCTGCCCCTATTTTCTATGTTTCATTGATTTCATTACCATCATTTCATTAATTTTAAATTCCTTGCTAAGTTACTGAATGTTCAAATGTCTGAGCTGCTGGGGAATATTTTAATCATCACATACAGTACAAGAATTCTCTCTTTTACACAGGCCTGTTAAAACAAGACTGTATTGGTTCCATTCCCAGGTTGTACCTTGTAATAAGCGGAAATCTCTTTTCCAGTTGCTTCCCTCCCAAAGTATTCCATAGCCAGCAATTTTCAGGTATTTTTAATCAGCCTGTCCAGGGATGTTATGCCACATCTCTTGAGCAGATGGGATTTGAATGTGTGCTCCCCAGCTCACGGATAAGGACATGATGCCCTCAACTTGCATAGGTTTAAATGATATCCAGCTGACGAGAGTCCAATTACAAAGACCTTACTCATGAGGGTATATGTTTCTGGAATGTAAGATCACATGTTACTAGGTTCTATTCATCATATTCAGCTGCTTTATTGAAATGAGTGACTCAACAATCTTCATGCACTTCTCAGAGGGGTTGACATGTAACAGTTGGAGGTGAGATTGGTTGAAAGTAAATTAAAAAAAGAGGGAAAAATCTTCTGCCACTCCACAACATACAACAAATCCACAGCTTCCAGTTTAATAATTCAAGACTGGAGTCTTCAGAGACCAGCCAATTTGAATTAAATGAGTAAATACAGAAAGTGCTTTGCTTTATTGAATTATAAGTGATCTGGCTACAATGATCTAACCTCCAACTGATTCACTTCCTCACCAGCTCTGTTCCTGAGACTCATAGAGAGCAATAACATTGAAGATGAAAACTCAACCGCATAGCAGATCACTGGCAAAATAATGTTTGGTGCACTCCACTTTGTAAAGGATGAGACAGACTGTGAACTCATTGAAACATAAGTATTGTTTTTGTAAGCTAGAATAGATCACATTTTTAATACAATGTGCAATTTTTAACAGTGGAAAAACTGCATGCTATTATCCAATCTTCCAATCTAGTCCCACTAATGAGTGCTGAAAGAGGTGTCCTCTCCTGGATGAGACATTAAACCGAGATCCCATCTGCCTGCTTTTGTGAATGTGGGTGATCTTATGATACTACTTTGAATAAGTCCAGTAGAGTTATCCAAGATGTCTTTCCTTTTAATTTTTACTTCAATCAATATCGCTAAAAATAATCTTGTCATAATCACATTGCTGTGTGTGGGAGCTTGCTGTG